ATACGTTTTATTTAACTACGATTTAAAATATTTTCACTTTTAATTTTTAATATACTTCTTTTAATTTCTTTTTATTTTATATATAAACCTAGTAATATATTGTTTCTCCTGTAAGTACAAAGGACATGGGTCATTCAAAAGCTTGCATCTTCTAGCATTTCATATTAATTTCATTTTACCGTAGGGGTTTTATTGGATTCTTTTAAGTGCGTTTAGTACTAAGAGGGAGGTCATTAGGTTAGAAAACGTTTTATTTAATTACAATTTAAAAGAAGTTTAGGTTAGAATTCATTTTATTTAACTACAATTTTAATTACAACTTTAAAATATTTTCATTGTTAGTTTTAATAGACTATATTTCTTTTTAATAGAAGTAAATGTATTAGAATTACTTACAGTAAGTAAAATTATTTTTCCATATCAAGTATATGTATATTACGATTTTTAAAATTTTATATTTAAATATTAAGTAACATTTATGGCACTTACGGCGAAAATAGCTAATTCATTTCTCTGATTTAGTAAACTTTATTTATTTATTTATTTTATATATATAAACTTAGTAATATATAGTTTCACATGTATGTACAAAGGACATGGGTCATTCAATAGCCTACATCTTCTAGCTTTTCGTCATAATTTCATTTTTCAGTAGGTGTTTTATTGGATTCATTTAAGTACCTGTAGTACTTTTTGAGAGGTGTTTAAGTTAGAATACGTTTTATTTAACTATAATTTAAAAAGATGTTTAGGTTAGAATTCGTTTTAACTACAATTTTAAATAAAACTTTAAAATAATTTCACTGTTATTTTAATAGACTATTTTTTTTAAAATCATGATGAGGTATTATGTACACTATTTACATTATTCGGACTATTGTCCTCATCTTTGTCACCATATTTATTAAACGTTTCGGCCGTTCTGTATCTGTCTACATGTCTGAGATGAGGTATTATGTACACTATTTACATTATTCGGACTATTGTCCTCATCTTTGTCGCCATATTTATTAAAAAGTTTCGGCCGTTCAATATCTGTCTATATTTCTGAGATGAGGTATTATGTCCACTATTTACATTATTCGGACTATTGTCCACAACTTTGTCGACATATTTATTACAACTTTTCGGCCGTTGTACTCTCCGGCCTTCTTCAGATCGTTGGAATGTCGAACTGACCCCTTTATTTCGTTCACTGGGGTAGACTATTCCAGTTCCACTTGTCATGTCTAATGGATGTTAGTTATCACTTATCTCCTGTTAATTCCCCTCTCCATTTTCTCCACCGCCTTAACCGGGTATTGAATTCATATTCTTTGGCTCCTGTCACTGGATCTAACTAACGACTTTATCGACTGTGCCATGTGTCCTTGAGGACATATGGCACATTGGATAAAGTGAATAAAAAGCATCTATGTAAATGACAGTGGTCCATGAACATAAATGGGTAGTGTAACCGTTATTGGTGTATAAAGTGGAATAAGTGCGTAGACTTCAAATTTTACCTTGTTCTGCTGCTTTCGTTTTGTGATAATGACCTTGGGAAAAAATAAAACAGCTTCAAATAATTCCTTTAGGTATAACATTATAACGTTAACGTATCAATATAGAGAGCAGTTTAGAAAAAAGATTTGTATAATTCAGATAAATACTCTGAACGCATTACTTCGATTAGCACTTCCTATTCCTGTTAGTTAAATACATTTATAGGAATCTTCATAGGAATAATAAAAAAAAACATCGAAAGGTCTCTCATTTCAAACAACGTTGGATGAAATAGGAACCAATTATTTCAACCATTATACCAAAATAAGGCTGACAAAGAATGCAAATATATAAACAGATTCCTCAATACAAAAACGATATTTTTAATAGGTACGTTATTTTAAACGGTGAAATTACTGTCAACCGGCTTAGAAATTAAAAACGCCTAACTAAAATATACCCCCCACCAAGAGGAATATTTATTTTATCTGTTAGAGAAACAGTTCCTTTAAACGAAATATGCATCTACCAATTAAGTCACGGGCAACCATTCTGTAAGCAGTAATAACTAATTACCTATTTAAGGAATATACATCCCCCGTTGGGGCCTTTCGAACTCTGTATCTGCTAGCTAGATTTTCTTATTAGAAACATAAGGGAAACTATTTTTATATGGATTTTCGTATTCGACATTACTTCATATTACGATATAACTAAATACCAATCTCTTAAAAGAATGTATTATTTTATATTGGCGTTGGTAGTTGACAATATGGTTTTTTAATTGAAAAAGTAAAAGTAAGGAATAGTTTGAACTGTATTTTATGGTGATGTCCCGAATGATGTGAAAGTTGGCAACAGTTCTTTCGTAGTGAGAGCTTCCGCTAACACAAAGATTTTGTGCAGGAAATGTGTCTATTTTAATAGAAATATTGTCATATCATATATCAACCAACATAGAAACACAGGCAACCAGCCTTTTCGTTAGGAAGGAGATTTCTTGAGCAATTGTTGGTCCAGTCTGACAGAATGTTCGACGGTTTGTCGGGTGGAAACAAAAACAAGATGCAGAAACTACTAACCCACCTCGTTATTTAACAAACTTAGATTTAGGCTGGTACAAAGTTCAAATTACGAAATACTAATCAACGTTGATTAATTGCAATGATTGGACGAGAAATGGCAGTTTTGCTAGATTTGAAATAGGTTCGGTTAAATTTTCCTAAATGTTTAAAATTGAAAAAGTCAGATTAATAACAGAAAATATCGCTAAAATTTAGTTTTAATTCCCCCATGTTCTCTCTCTTTCTACACACACACACACACACACACACACACACACACACACACACACACACACATATATATATATATATATATATATATATATATATATATATATATGAGCTTCTCAAATTATGTTCAAATTTTCTAAAATTTGTGTGATAGAGACAGAGGACTTAGATAACTAGATAGATATGTAAAGACTGAAACAGATATGGACAAATGGATATACATAGATACCTAGAGAGAATAAACAAACTGCGATAGAAAAATAGATATGTATAAACCGAAAAATAGATATCGAAAATTTCTCTCTCTCTCTCTCTCTCTCTCTCTCTATATATATATATATATATATATATATATATATATATATATATATATATATATATATATATAAAGAAAAAGATGGAAAGACTGATAGATAGATAGATAGATAGATAGATAGATAGATAGATAGATCTGCATATTGCTAAATCTCGTAATATATGTTTGTATTGCGGTTTGTTCCTGCATCTATCTATCTATCTATCTATCCATCTATCTATCTATCTATCTATCTATCTATCTATCTATCCTCGTTTCTTTATGACTATCTATCTATCTATCTATCTATCTATCTATCTATCTATCTATCTATCTATCTATCCTTGTCTGTTGATTATCTATCTATCTATCTATCTATCTATCTATCTATCTATCTATCTATCTATCTATCTATCTGCTGATGTCTTGATATATTATCCCTTCCAATGTGAAGCTGGATAAAATCTCTAAAAAAATTGTTTATTAAAATAGTTCTTATTTCTTTACTTAAATTCAGTTCAATTAGCAGAAACATTATCTACACAAAAGGCAAAAGCGTTCAACTAATTCAGAATATATTGATCTTTATTCATTCATACAAAAAAAAAAGATTATGAACGAAATCTTGTCTTATTTTAAGACGTTACACATTTTTGGCGGGAAAACTACTGTATCGATTTTTTCGTTTCTATTTTTTATGAAACAAATCTTTTCGCTGACATCAATGATTGATTGATTGTGAACACCGCTAAGATGAAACAGTGACGTTCCTAATCACCTGTTCTTATAATTTTGCGTTGATACTGACGGGCAACAGCTCCCTTTTTATTACCCTTCAAAAATTTGTCATTTGATAACAAATGAATCCATTATTTACCTTAATACTGATTATGGGTTACGGAAGGATAATCAGGTGGCAAATATCGGCACGATGACCGTCCTCAAAAACGATACCCAAGCTAAACAGATTCACTCACATTTCACATCTATACGTTCAATATCACAAGTTTTGTTGGATTAAATTTTGTCAGGAAATGATAAGACGAATGACAGGAGTGTCGACATAATTTATTGTGGCACGACTCGTGTTATATAACGCTTACAAATCTCAGTTTGATCATATCGATTGATTGATCGAAATATCGATCAATTGATCCTAATTTGTGTAGATATCTCACTATACATACATGAATTCTTACGTTTGGTCCTTTTGAGAGATTCTGGGATCAAAAACAGTTTAACAATCATTTTACAGATTGCTTTTATCTATATATCTATCTATCTATCTATCTATCTATCTATCTATCTATCTATCTATCTATCCCAATCTTTTCATATTTATATATCTCAGTCTGCTCATATCTATCTATCTATCTATCTAGGATTATTCAGAAGGCCTAGATATATATCTGTCAGTGTGTTAATATTTATCTAAATTCTTTGTTCTCTCCCATTTATCTATTTTAGTTTCTTCATATCTGTCTATTTATCGCATTGTGTTTAGTTAGCTTTGTGTCACTCTACCTATATATATAAAAATTTTAGACTACGAAATTCTGATTCGTGGGGCTGGATAAAACTTCAATCAGCTAGGTGGCAAGTTTCAAATTTTGTATTAACTCTCTCTCTAGACACTCACCCACTCACCCACAAAGGTACACACAAATATTATATATATATATATATATATATATATATATATATATATAATATTTCTTCTTTTAAGCAAGTCCAGTATCTAGAAGGTACCCGTCTCGAAGTGTATTGCAAAACCAATGACGTAATGTTTGACTCGAAGCGCCTAATGCCTATATGACCTTACGCTAAATATCTCCGTCCCAAATATAAATATGATTCAGCTAAAATACAAATTTATCTCTCTGTCTGTGCTATATCTGTTTCTTATTTTTTGTATGGGTTTTGTAATGCTTGTAGATGAGCATATAACATTTAATTCTTTTATTGTACGTAAAATCTATCTATCTATCTATCTATCTATCTATCTATCTATCTATCTATCTATGTATTTAACTATATTCATATCTATCAATCTATAAAATCTATTCATATCTATCTATCGATCTATATCAGTCGGTTCATAACTATCTATCTATCTATCTATCTATCTATCTATCTATCTATCTATCTAAGTATATTCGTATCTGTCAATGTAAGTCTATTCATATCTATCTATCTATCTATCTATCTATCTATCTATCTATCTATCTATCTATCTAAGTATATTCTTATCTGTCAATTTATATACTCTATTCCTATCTATCTATCTATCTATCTACGATTATTCATAACTCCTATATATATATATATATATATATATATATATATATATATATATATATATGCCTACAGTGTGTTAATATCTATCTAAACTATGTTCTCTCCCTTTTCTCTATTTTAGTTTCTTCATATCTTTCTATCTCTCTATCTATCGCATTGTATTCAATTCTCTCTGTATCCCTATCGCTACACACACACACACACACACACACACACACACACACACACACACACATATATATATATATATATATATATATATATATATATTGCTGATATCTCCTAACTAGTTGTTGGACCCCCATTTAATCTCATTGCAAAGCGGACGGGATTCATAGTCCAATCTAATTCGCTTTTCTGGTCAATTTAATAAAAGCCTTTCATCTGTTTACTGTTTAATTTTAATCTCGATAAAACCAGTTCAGAATTTTTGCTATTGACTTTTCTTTCTTTGTATCAAACGTTCTTAAACATTTTTTTACAATGCCACATTCCTTCAGCACCTGGACGACCCTGGCACTATACAGATTCTTTTCCAGCGTTAACGGTGAATTGCTCTGCATTCTTGGAATGTATTGTGGCGTGGATTCTTATGGCCTTGTCTGCTCTTTTTGAATTAAGAGTTTTCCTTATCCTAGATTGATTACCACCGAAAGTCAGAGAGTTCTGTCTGCCCTGCTATTTTACCTATAGCTGGGTGCAAAAGGGGAAAAAGCGTTAATGCCTTTTCTAAGGATATTAAGTGCAAAAATAAACTCAGTCGGAAAATTCCAGATTTGAACTCGACACGCCGATTTTATTTTCATCGCTGATATCCATTCCATTAACCACGCATCCTGCCTAAAATTGGTTTTAGTTTTCCAATAGAAACATCAACTGAAACACATAATGTTATTTCATAGGTAGATCCTTCAGAAGTGTTTGAATAACATGTTTTATGAGTTTTGAATTAGGATATATTTCAAATATTCTCTATTGTTTTAAAATGCCATTTTTAATAATTTACTTTCTTTCCTATGTTTCATCTTTTATGCATCTGCTTACTTGATCACAGAAGTTCAACAGTATCAAGTCCGCTCACTACTTAGATGCTTTCCACTTAGTATCATCATGTCCTACGAAGTAAGCTATAACCTCACATATATTTCTGCTTGAAATAACCCACAAAAGGTTGATAAACTGTAAAAAACAAATAAATCTTTCATATATATATATATATATATATATATATATATATATATAGTATGAAATGGACAGAGTCCGACAATTATTTTAAGACATTTTTATCTATAAAAAGAAGGTATAAACATAAAAAAAATGTCTTAAAATAATTGTCGGACTTTGTCCATTTCATAATGTATGACTTCTTTTGTTTAGATTTGGATACGCATCGAGCAGATATGAATGTATGAGAGAAAATCATAGAGAATTATAGTTTAAAAACAGTAAAATCGACCATGCCAACCGATACGCTCCTCTGTAGCTCAATCAGTAAATACTCGTCAGGCTATATGACGGTTTCCGTCATAGGATACAGGTTCGATTCCTGATGGAGGACGCATATTTTCTGCGAAAATTTCTGGGTATTCAGACCGGTAAATGTCTTTAATACTGTTTATTATACTTCAGAAAGCCATGGTAATATTTTATTTCGCAAAATCGATAATTCGATTTCGCTTCATCATCCCTCTCGGTTTCAAAACAATGAATGGATTCAGAAAGTCTTTCAGAAATCAACCGAAAAACGAAACGAATAACAAGAATAACGGAAAATATTCTTGAAAAATCATCTTTACCCCCTTTTCTTGTCCGATGAATAAGATTAAATAAGTGTGACATAACTAAAGAAATATTTTTACTAAGATTTTCTAAAAAGAAATTTCAAAACTAATTTCTTTCATTTGTGAATAAGTCCTGAAATTTTAATTAAAATCCGACAACTATTTAATTTTTGCAAGAATTTCCAAATCAATGTGTTTTTCACCGGGAAAAAGGCGTTAAAACACTGAGCGTAAATATTATGTCAACTGCTAACGCAAAAAAAAAAAAAAAAAAGATTTTTTATCAAAATTTCGAACGTGCTTGAAAGGATTGAAAAATTAATAATATAATTAAAAAAATAATTTTTTTCTTTTTAATAAAAGCATAAATATTTTGATGATAAAACTTAGTTTTTATTAAATTTTGAGCCTTTTTTCATCATGCTATTCTGTTTTTTCAGCGAAAAATGGAGGTTCGTACCTTAAAACAATAGCTCACATAGCTGTGTTAGTCTCTCTTTCTCTCTCTCTCTTTTTCTCTCCATCACTCTATCTGTTTTTCATTTGAGTTATTTCAGTTTGGGAGCGCTTTCTCCCTTTATTATTGCCATCTTTTTGCGTTTCGTTCTTCTAAGGTCCTATTCATTTACCGTTTACTAACTTCACTTTCATTACGCATCACCTCCCCAATTCTTCTGTACTCTCCCCCATCAATATCTTCATCCTTCTCTACCACCTCCCCAATTACCATTTCTTAGACTGTTCGCTGGACGCCGTCAGTTGATTCTAATTTTTTTCTAGAATATTCAAGCATATTGAATTTTGTGTAATTCTATTAACAAAAGGCTTCTGTCTACCACAACAGAAAAGTAATGATATCAGATAGAAAACTACTTATAAGTAATAATAATAATAATCATAATAATGCTATACTAAACGAGCCTCTTATGGTTTCTGATTTTAACGTGTAGATGCTTGTTTTCAGCAAATAGTTCCCAACTAGACATTTATTCAGAAGACACTACCATTTATCTCAATAGCAAAACCGTCATATCTGAAAAAGATAAAATCTGGCTGCTGCTCTTGAAAACGACCTCCAATCAGTGGTTAATTGGGGCAAGAAATGGCCTGAAATTTTAACGCCCCCAAAACAAAACTTCTTTCATTTAACCGCCATAGATAACCTTTTCTACCTGTCATCAGAATGGCTGACACAAGACTCCCAGGTGAGCCTTCTTTTGTCCTTATCTTTTTGTGGTAGGATCCACCTAATTTGCATAGTGGAGTACCGACCATATAAATATGGTTGGTACTGGGAAGAGAGGGAGGAATCAAGAGATTCAACCAGAGACTCTGCCCGACTGTGACTCAGTCAACACATTCTCCAGGAACGGTCTTCCCAGGAATATACAAAAGACTATATGTAAATATTGTGTACACTTCCTTGTTTCAATACATTTTGTTCTAAGTACATTTTGTGTTGCATTATTATTCCATGCATTAGTCAAGTTTCAACACTTTTCCACTAACTTAGAGTGGAGTGACTACATCGAATCAATATCTGCATCGACTGTAAGAAAAGATACGTCACTGTGCCGTAACAGAAATATTTTCCCGTTAGAATCCATCTTATACATTTGGAAATCTACCATTCCTCGGTGAATTGAATACTGCTGCCATATTTGGCTTCCTTCTTTGTAGTCTACAAATATTTTCATGGCAAATTCTCTGACAAGCTTTCCTTCCTGGAGCCCCGATGACATGAATTTCAGCGTGCTACTTTTGAAATAACTAAATGCAACTGCTTCTTGTACTCCAACAGTTTATTTTTGTTGTGGCCTGTTTAGGAGCCAGAAAGAAAGACACAAAAGACGAAGGTAGGTTGTAAAAAGTATATTGAAGATATATACAAAACAATAGTGTTAGTAATAAGTAGATTAGTACTGCGTCTACTACTCCACTTCACTTCTACTATCCGACTCTCGCAGTTTGTATTTATGAGAGGAGGAGGAGTTCATTCTACTGTAGGAGGGTTTACCACAACAAATTTCTCGATCTTCCCACCTGTGGAACTCCTTTCTGTTGAAGCTACTCTGATAAGTACAATCATCAAAAACTTTAAATCAAAATCAATCGCTATCTTTTCTTGAAACGCGTTCATCTTTTCTCCTTTCCACAATCATCCCTATTCTCTGTCTTCATTTTCACTCCCTGTAACCCCCTGCATATCAGTGGCATTCCCGCCTTGACTGGGGGTGAAATAACGAGCTACGGTGAATATTCCGTTCAATTACCTGACCATAATCATATCGGCGTGTCCCCTTGAGACTGGCACATTGTGCATCTCTGTTCATGAATTGAAGCTGTAGAAATTATCATGACTGGAAATTGAACAGGCCGTTTTTAGGTTTCAAAGAAGAGTCAGCCAAGGCGTCTTGAGGGTAACATCAAGATACTTGGGAACACCTTCAATCAAAGACCATCTGAGAGGACTAGGTTACCCGAGCTGAAGGTATTTTTTTTAACTAGGCACCACCTGTTTTATTCAAAACCTGTCACCATATGGCATGTATTTGGCTGTGATGCATGTGACTGGCATCCCTTTACCAGACAGAATGTCATGATGGGCTCAGAATATTTGCATTGCAGCGTCATTTTGTTGGATTGGTGTTTTATCACTTAATAATAATATATTCCTTTAGCTACACCAAGTATGACTTTCATGTCTTCTATTCTTAATTGGTTGGAACTGTTGCTTGTACAGGTTTTCTTAATGGTGTATGATAAAGGTTGCCTACAAGAAAAAGAGTACAGCGAATATACTTCTCAGTTGCCTGACCATAACCAGTTTAGCATATACGCTTGAGGCTGACGCACAGCATATATTTGTTTATGAGTGGAAGTTGTGGGATGTTGAGAGGGGTGTTTTTTTTTTAATTTGAAGCATGAGGTTGTCAAGGTGTTTTGGGGAGTCTCATCTAGATATTTGCTAACACCTTTGATCGGTGACCGTCAGAGTGAAATAGGTTACCCTATCTGAAGGTGTTTCTGACCGTACCCTATCTGTAAGATTCATGCAAAGAGACCACGGAGAATGTCACAGAAAAGGTTAAAGATCCTTTTCAGAGAGGTAAAAAAAACAAAAAACAAACAAACAATAAAACAACTATTAAGTGATCGAAAAATAACCTTCTAAAAGAAGAAATGATTGCTAGGCACCACCTGGAAAGATATTTTGTTACCATATCGCGTTCATTTCGCAGTGATGCATGCCCCTTGTATACCTTCATCACAGTGGATAGCATGATGGGCATATTGGGCTCTGTGATATTTACCTACCTATATCGTAGTGAAAACTGGATAGTTTAGTGATAAATCAAGAAAAAACAACACTCACACCTATGTTGATAATACTGTAAGAAGAATGAATATGTTCTAAAGAGATAAGAACTCCAAACATATATAGAGAGAGGTTGTCCAAAAACAATTTACATAATTTAAAATGTGAATATTTGAGTAACTACATGCCCCAGACAGAAGAAATTGAATAAGCTTATGTTGAACAATAAAAGATTTATTTATCAAAATTCGGACAAGATATTCACAGGGATGTATATTTTATAATCGATTTCACAAAGCTTCACAAATGTTTAATATATGAGAAACCTGTGACACGACCAACGTCAAGTCGGTAGTCCAGCAACTGCCAAACACGCATGTCTTGCGTAACATTCTTCAGCGCCTCAGTGATTCTCTGCTTAAGTTCCTCTAGGCATGTAGGGAGAGGGCGGATATAGACTTTTTCTTTCACATAGCCCCATAGAAAAAAATCACAAAGTATCAATCCAGTTGAACGTGGTGGACATATCAAAAGCACATTGTCATTATCACTGGCATGAAGAATCCATCTTCCTGGCAGTCTGTCTGTGGATGGCAATATATAGGCCCCCGGAAAATTTAATTCTGGTCGAGCACTCTTGAGAGAAAGCACGAATTTGTAAACAATAACTGCTACTACTAATACTGCAAAGCTCTTACATGAATTGAGCTCTCTCGGTCATTATTCGAAGAATAGGTACGTAAAATTTCGCCTTCCTTTCAACCGTTGCTGATAGCTCAGGGGCAGAATCCCCGACTGATGCCAAATCAGTTGGGTTTCGATATATAAGTATATATTATATATCGGACTTACACACACACACACACACACACACACACACACACACACACATATATATATATATATATATATATATAATAACAAATTGTATTCGGTGGGGATTATTCCAAAGAGGACTTTTAGTCCATATGAAAGTTCAATGTATGATACAGAGCAAATTATAAGAATAATTAGGAAAAAACCTTAAAAATCCATTGTCAGTTATAAATTTATTTCGATGAATATAAGCGTACTCATCTCATCAGACCAACTACATTTTATGAAAGGTAGTCGGTATGATGAGATGAATATGCTTATATTAATCGAAATAAATTTATTACTGACAATGGACTTTCAATATTTTCCTAATAATCATACACTCACCCACCCACATACACACACACACACACACACACACACACATATATATATATATATATATATATATATATATAAGTAGACATTGATGTTAACACTAAGAGGAGACAGTCTGTTACATACGCTCTATTCCTAATATTGTGCATTTTAACTCTTGAATATAGCATACCTTAAAACTATATATATATATATATATATATATATATATATATATATGTACGTATGTATTTATAATAGAAAATGAGGATAACAAGCTGAAAGAGACGATTGAGATTTTGAGAAACAGAATGAGGAAAAGAGGCTCAGAGAACCTAAAACTCACTAGATAGTAAATATAGTAAACATACCGATTAATGCACCTGAAATGTCTGAGAAAAATAATGTACGAGCAGGAACAAGCAGGAACAAACATGTCAAGGGTTTATTGAAAAAGAATCTTTCGGAGAGCAACAAAAGACTAGAAGCTGTGGAGACTAGTCAACGCACACATACAGAGAGAAGTGCCTCTTTATAGTTATTATTCTTCATTTATAATTGCGGAAGTTATATCTTACTTAATATTTATTATTATCGTCTCTGCATAATTTTTTTTGGGGGGGTCGTTAATATTTCTATGTATTTGGGAAATGTTGACCTCTCGTATTTGTCCAATGGCATGATGCAGACATAACGTCTCCAGGTTAGTCTTTGGAGAAAAATATCTGACATTCTAGTTCAAACATTTTGAGAAATTTCCATCATACAATATACATAATATATTAAATATATATTAAATGCCATAAGGTAAGTGGTTACATAACAGTTATTGACACCTTTCTATAATGGTATTAATCCTTTATTACCCGCCTATCTATCTATCTATCTATCTATCTATCTATCTATCTATCTAAGTCTGTTCCTTCCTTCCTTCCGTCCTATCTATCTATCTATCTATCTATCTATCTATCTATCTATCTATCTATCTATCTCAGTCTGTTCCTTCCTATCTATCTACCTATCTATCTATCTATCAAATCTGTTATGGGGGTAGCAAAACATTGTAAGTCGAACTGGAGAGCAGAGTTCGAATTCTGACCTAGTATGTGGCGTTCACTTGTGAAAGACATGTATCCATTCCTTTTCCCATAAGCATGGTACACTGGGCTTCTTAGTATTTAATGTCAAACAATCTATGAGTAGGATAAATTTGAATTCATAAGTGTGAAGAACTGAACGAGAAACCACTCCATTATCTTTCCTATGGAGTAAAGGAAATTCAGAGATAATAAGGTAAAGAAAGCAGTGAAGAAACATGTTCTCCTACAGAATATTCTGCGTTAATTTCTTTTTTTTCTATAGATAATAATAATAATGGTAGTAGTAGTAGTAGTAGTAGTAGTAGTAATAATAATAATAATAATAATAATAATGTTAATAATAATAAAACATCTTAAACCTCTTGGGTCGGCTAACCATGTAAGTCACTTAAAGTTTTCTGAATTTATTGAATATATATATATATATATATATATATATATATATATATATATATTCTAAATGTCTCCTGCGTCTTATGCTGTAGTTTAGAATTCAGTTCTTTATTTTCTAGGTCTCAAAACGGCCAAATTCGAGTCAAATTCGATTTATTTGTACAAAAAAGAAAGCTGTGAAGAAACATCATCTACAGAAAATTATACATTAATTTCTTTTTTTTCTATAGATAATAATAGTATTAGTAACAGCAGCACTAATAATAATAATAATAATAATAATAATAATAATAATAATAATAATTCACATTTATCAAAAATCATGTCCCGAACCTCTTGGGACGTCTAACCCGATAAGTCCCTTAAACATTTCTTAATTTATTGAATATATATATATATATATATATATATATATATATATATATATATATATATATATCGTAATCATACCTGTGTAAGACGTAGTTTTCCGCCACTAAAATCGCTTCTAAATGACTGCTGCGTTTTATACTGTATTTTAGAACTCCTGTTCTTTACTTTCTAGGTCTTAAAAGGGAAAAAATCGAGTGAAATTGGATTTATTTGTTTACCAGAATGATAAATATATATCTCATTCTACAAAGGAAAATAAATCACACCTGCATATCGGTAGGCAGACTGAGAATAGAAGAGCTTGGAGACATCTGCAAGTAGATTGTCGACGCGTGTGAAGCTGTCACTGTAAAAACCTTCACGAAATGCCGCATCTAGAACGCGATCGACGGCACCGAAGATGGCGAGGAATTCGTACAAAATCGCAGGTCAACAGAGACAAAAATAACGAGATGAATTCTACTGAAAAGGATGTGAAAATTTGCATAGCTAAAGCCAGGGCCGCCATGAATAAAATGTATGGACTCTGGAAATCTAATCAACCAGACAACCTCAAGAGAAGATTCTTTCAAATCATTGTAGAGGAATGTTGATATATGGTGCCACTGCTTGGAAAATAACTAAAACCCGGAGGATCTAAGCTTGATGGAACCTAAACTCGGATGCTGTGAGATATATTTAACAATCTACTGGAGGCAAAATCCAACTAAATCAAAATTTATGTAAATAACTAATGATAACGACGACGATATCTAAAACAAAGATCTCTACCCTTGGTAACATTCGATCAGTTCTGTTTCCGACGACGAAGACGTGTTTGAACGATTAAATGAAGTTGACTTTCCATTCTTAGATCTTGGATGAGCACAGTAAAATCATCTGTATTGAAATGAACAGACCTTTCAAAAGAAATATCTTAGATTGTCACAAAGGAATTAAAACCAAACGAACAAGTTAATAATTTTTCAGTTTTATTTCGATTTATTTTCTCAATGTTTATTCGCGATTTTTTGGTCTTCTACGCCAAAAGTCATTATCAAGTTTTCGTAATACTCATGAAAAAATGACCCGTTTATTTTTCATTTATTTTCTTCCTATTCCCCAAGTTTTGTTCGTTTTCTTTGCTTTAAATCAGGTGCGATTTATACATGACATTAATGTTTTTCTTTATAATTTTTCTGCTTTTTTAACTACCTCTTATACTTCCTAGCGATCTATACACAAAATATAAAGGTATATATATACACACAGACACAGACACACACAGACACACACAGACACACACACACACACACACACACACATATATATATATATATATATATATATATATATATATATATATATATATCATTGTGCAGGAACGATGCTGTTCATAACTTTGTGTTGTATCGTCGAGGTGAATGATAAACAGAGAAGAATGAGTGCTTATATTTATTCAGCACCAGTATCCAGTGATAATGGATACATACAAAAACACAGAACAGAACAATAAGTTACAAAACAATTAACAAGACAACTTACAAGGAATAGAGGAGGGTCAAATGCTTTATAACCAAACGAAGTAAGATCAGTTCGAATATTAAGCAGCTTGGTATCAACTTACTAATCAACAATTGAAGTCCTTAATTGTAGACTATTTAAGACTATGAGCCAGTCCATTTGGTAGAGTGCTGAAGTGGTACTAGCTACTCTACAACACTCTGATTTTACTAATTCCACCCTAATTAAAAAAAAGTACATAATTCTTTAAAGAGAAAAATACACTGAAAGCTTTATAATATCATTATTACTAACTATAAACACACGCCAAAACAATAAATTACATCGGCTTTCTTTGAATCTTTTCTTAAAGAATTTAACCTCTGTTTTTCTAATACAAACAGTACGTACGTAAAAACAGCCCCAGGTTAATAGAAAACTACCCCATTACGTCGGCTAACCAGACAAAAATGAAATGATTAGAACTCCTCCTATTGGACAGACGGACATGCACAATTACGAATACACGTTACCATCCGATGCCGGCTGAGACGTATTAGAATTTTTACAAAATTACATACACATAGAATTGTTTACGGTTTTAAAACACGTGATACATGACTAACCAGTGAGAATCGACCCCAACAAAATTGAAAATACCAAAGTTCTGTCTTTTCGTCTGCTTTCGCTTAATCTCTGACGAAGCTAATAAAAGTGAAACGTGTTAGATTGATAAACGTTTCGTATTTGCTCTTTATCACACACACACACACACACACACACACATATATATATATATATATATATATGTAATTATTTATTTAAAAAATATGATTCCTTCGCTACATAAGAGTTCTCATGTTTCAAAACAAGAGTCGAAAATTATAAACATTTGAATTAAATTGAAATTATAATTATTTGAATTAAATTGAAAGTACGAAGCTCTATTCTATCTTCAAGCAAAATTTTTGGAATAACTAATGCTTGAAATTTACGCGTTTTTATAAGCATATTCATTACACGTGCGAGTAAGTTTTTCTTTTTTTTGTTTTTTAACCGGTATCACCCCAAGCAAGGCAGTAGAGCCACTAGCACGCAAGGGGTTACTGAATCTGGCGGAATTAGAAACAGAAAGATTAGTAATGAGGAGAAAGAAAAGAGTAATCAGGAGAACAGTAGATAGCGATTGACATTGTTTTTATAGATCTAAGTTGGCTTTGACCCAAGAAAAAAGCTCAATGTGCGCAATTTTCAGATGGAATGTTGAAGATATCACCCAAGGGAGCGTAACGGAGAAAATCCCAGAATGAGTCCCAATCGGCAGGCTGGTACCAGAAAGAGGTCTTATACATAGAGCGGGGGTCCTGTTTAATTGAGGTTTGAAAGGAGATATCAATAGCTAACATAGAGTGGTCTGAGTTACCAAGTGGAGAGTATTGTGAAATTGGCAAGAGCAGGAAAAGGAGGTAAGAAATAGATCCAATAGAGAAGCATGTTGCTCAATTTGGCAAAGGAAACGAGTAAGGAAGTATACGATTTGAGTGAGGGATTGGGTAATGGAAACATTTAATGCCCGTATAAGGGCAACATCAGTACCGTTAGAACGTTTCAGCTATGTGTCATGGTGAGCATTAAAGTCACCGAAGACAAAGATGTTTGCAGATGAATGGAGAGAAAGTGCTTTTCTTATATTATCAGCTACGCGTCAAATATACTGCATTCTTTGGAAGAGCAAGAGCGATAAAGTAAAAAGAAATAGTTGACAGAGTTTAGTAACGAAAAACTGTAGCATATAAAAGAATAGTCGGCGACCTCAAGAGACAATTCTCTGGCCATCGGAATATTATCGCGAGTCTAAGCACCAGGACTAAGCATGTGAATGCTGGAATATTTTCAGCAAAGGGGAAGATACCCTGGAAACAAGAATTTATTAATCACAATAGAAGAATTCAAGTTGGTTTCACAAAGGACAAAGATATCTTGCGACTGATCCAGGAGAAAGGATTCTGCGTTGCATAAGTTGGAACGGATGGCGCAACTATTGGAGAAAGAAAAACTGAGAAGGGTAGGTTAGCTGGTTTAGATTTATTTCTTTTTGTAGTGATTTCCATGTTTTGAGGAGAGAGAGGAAAAAGACCACCATAATTGTTATTATCTGTTGTCAATGGCGATACAAACCAGCCAGCGAGTAGCTGAGAGCAGAGCATAATACGGCCTCAGGGTTGCCCACCGGAAATACATGCAGGGACACGTACCCATGTGCGACATAGCACTACATATATCCTGATATCTTGCGACTGCAAACTGCCAACCCAGTACCCTCATATATATATATATATATATATATATATATATATATATATATATATATATATATATATATATATATATATATTACGAGAAAATTTAAAAAATGAAGGGAGAAAAATATATAGTATTATTCTGAAAACCGATGGCAAAAAATTAATAACAACTAAAAATCAAGTTAAATACAAGAAAATTTAAAGAAATAATAATGTAAAGTGTTCATTTTAACGATACAAATATACAGTTAAGACTGGCAGTGTCACTCAAGACTGGTGGGCTCTTTGGTGAACATCAGATCAAAAAAGAGTTGGTAACGCCATCAAAAATCTGGAAATGCTATCTTAGCATCAACCTGCCTTCTCTTTGTAAATAAAATAATTAAAATTTACCAAATATTTTA